AGACTTTATCTGGCTGAGAAGAAATGAGGTATTGTGACGGATATGGCTGAGACTGAGGTGGTCATTTGGTCTTGTGAATGCATCATGGAGGCTCTCCAAGGAAGTCTCAAAAATAATATTCGAGAAATGCAGATTGTGCACACATTCTACCGCCCAAAAAAGAGACCACAAATCCGCCTCAGTTTTTGTGTGCATATAAGAGTAAGCACGATGGCTATGCATGATTGTACACCTCTTTTCATCTCGTAGGATCCATGAAGCACCACTATGATGATTAGAGTTTAACTATGAGGAACCAACATTACATTTGAGGAAACCATTAGGTGGTTTGTTCCATCAAATCAATTCAGTAGGAACATCGTTAACACTATCCTTTGTTCATGTAAATGTATCAAACCATGTGGATTCTTCTTCATAGGCCTTCTTAGCAATAAATGAAGCTTCAATATCTTTGGTTTCAAAAACAAAGGCATTTCTGGCTTTCCACATTTCCCGTAACAACCATGGAAAAATATTTCTTGTATGTATATCCGTGGATGAGTTCTTAGCAATCTTGATGAGATGGACAAAATTTAAAAATGTTGACTTTCGAGAGAAACCACCCAAAGGTATTGGGAAATTAGCATGCTCCCACGTGGCACGTGCTTTCTCACATGTAAAAAGAACATTACATATACTCTCTGCCTCATTACCACATGACGAACATGTTGGGTCTATCGGAATACCCCGAGTAGTCAACCGTTGTTTGACCGCTAGAGCACCAGATAGAGCATGCCACATAAAAGGTTTTATTTTTGGTGGGGCTTTAATCTTCCACAATTCTTTCCATAATTGTTTTTCAATAGGAGCAAGGGAATGTTCTGGTGGATAATCACAGTCTACCAAATCTTCTAATAGCTTATAACCACTTCTAGTCGAATCCACTTGATGTGAAACCCCATCGGAGTGTATCTTCAGATATCAGCGATGGTTTTAAAAGTAAAATCCTTTGAACATCCTGTGCCGTAAAAGTTTGATATAATAAATTAATATCCCAATGATTCGACTCCTGCATAAATAAATTTGAAACTTTTAGCGTCAGGTTTATGGAGCTATTCTCACGGTACATTGACGGCCGATGAATTGTATCAATAATCCAGTTTTCAGCGCAAACATTGGTAGCAGCCCCATAGCCAATATGTCTATATAAACCCTTTTTTAGTAATTCTCTACCATGCATGATATTCCGCCACGCATATGACGGACGTGTTCCCATACCACACTCTAAAAAAATTCTATTTTGAAATATTTGCCTTTAAGAATACGTGCGACCAAAGAATCAGGATTATTCCAAATTCGCCAAGCTTGTTTACCCAGCAAAGTCTGATTGAAACGACCAATGTCATGAAACTCAAGAACCCCCTGTTCCTTGGGTTTACACAACTTTTCCCATGAAACCCATGGGATCTTCCTCTTTTTATCCCCACTACTCCACCAAAACTCAATAATCGCACTTGTGATCCATTCACAAAGACCTTTTGGTAACCAAAAAACTGACATTGCATATACTGAGAGAGCTAAAGTAACCGATTCTATTAAAATTTCCTTGTCCCCCATCGAAAAAGTTTTTGAGTACCAACTCTGTAGCATGTCTTCTAATTTCTCTTTGATAAAATTTAAAAGATCTTTTTTTTTATCTTTGAAAATATTCAGGGAGACCGAGATATGAGCCTCCACCTCCTTCTTTTTCAATACCCAAAAACCTTTTTATAGATTGTTTTTGTGTCATCGGCTATGTTTTTCCCAAAAATGATGGAAGACTTCAAGGGATTAATCATTTGCTCAGAAGCCTCCTCATAGACTTTCAGACAATTCAAAAGTTCTTCACTATCCCTGATAGAGGCTTCACATAACAACAAGCTATCGTCCGCAAATAACACATGATGAACAGAGGGGCTGCCTTTAGCTAGCTTTATACCATGTAGTTTCCCATGTGCTTCTGTTTAAGACATGGACTAAAGCTTCAGCACATAGAATGAACAAAAAAGGGGATAAAGGATCACCCTGACGTATTCCTCTTTCAGGTCTAACAAATCCATGAGATCGTCCATTTAGTAACACTGATAAAGTGACAGTGGTAATGCATGACATTATCCAAACGACCCATTTAAGATCAAATCCCATTTTTCAAGTAGAACTTCAAGAAAATTTCATTCAACCCGATCATAGGCTTTTGACATATCTGTCTTAATAGCCATACTTTCTTTACCAATTTTATCATTAGTACGCAGACCATGTACCAATTAATGTGCTATAATGACATTGTCTGTAATTAGCCTGCCTCCAACAAAATCCCCTTGAGTTTCTGAAATTATATTTGGGAAAATCGCCTTCATCCGATCACAAAGAATACGAGAAATGATCTTGTATTGCACAGTGCAAAGACTAATGGGACGCATATCCTTCATCTCCATAGGCTGTAAAAATTTTGGTAATAGAAATAACTATGTATGTTTCCACCCAGCAGGGAGGATTGCTGTTTTAAAAAAACCTTGAACATCATCAATAATTTTCTATCCCACAATATGCCAATATTTGTGATAGAAATAACCAGTGAGTCCATCTTCTCCAGAGGCACTACTACTTTTGATACCAAATGCTGCTTTTTGACTTCATCAGGCGATACTTCTCTGGTTAACACTGTGTTCATCTATGAGGTAGCCCTAGTTTCAAAGCCCTCAAACAAAGTTTCCAAATCTCTTGGGTTTGAGCTTGTAATCAGATCTCTGAAATATTCAGTAGCATTATGACCTTTAGATCCTTCAAAATATTGTTCATTTCCAAAAATATCTTTAAGCATTAAGATCTTATTTCTCTTTTTTTTTCCCTTTAACCACATTATGAAAGTATGTTGTATTTCTATCCCCTTCCCGTAGCCATTCCTCTCTACTTTTTTGTCTCCAAAAGATCTCTTCTTCCCTATAAGCCGTAGCCAATTCTTGTCTTAACCTCCTTAGCATACTATAAATGGGGAATTGCTTTGATCTCTCTTTGTCAAAATCAATCTGTAACCGATCTATTCTTGTTTTTGAATTCCAGTCATTAGTCTTTTTAAGCTTGGATCATTCCGACCGGCAACGAGCAATACGATCAAGAACACTTAGATTTGAATTAATGTTTTCTACATCCCATCCACGAACAATGGCCTCCTCTACCCCTCTCTTCCCATACATACGTTTATCAAAATAAAACCGTCCCCTTTGCAAATTTTCAGGCTCTAGGGCAAACTCTATGCGTAGAGGTCGATGATCAGAAGGCCACATACTCATATAGTTAGTAGACGATTGTGGAAAGAGTCTAAACCATTCATCATTACCAAAACTCCTATCTAATTTACATTGTACCCAGTTATGATCCCGCATACCTGCCCATGAAAGAGTATTTCCCGTGCTCCTCATCTCCCTGATTTTACATGCTTCACCCATGTTCCGAAAATCAAAGAAAGTGTTTTCATCTCTAGTAACACCTCCCAATTTTTCACCATTATGCATTAGCTCATTAAAATGACCAACCAAAAGCCATGCATCATCTCTAATCACACCAATATCCGTTAGTTTATCCCAAACAAATCGTCTCCTTGCTCGTACTGGATCTTCATATACACATGAAAGAAAAAAATTAAGGGACTCCATTGTGACTTGAAGATCAATAATTCTGTTATCACTATTTAAAATTTCAACTGTGTAACATCTTTTTCACATTAAATCTAAGCCACCACTACGCCCAATGGGTTCTACCGTGTGTAAACAATCATACCCTAAGCTTGATTTTAAGACATCCATGTAAACAAATTTTTGCTTAGTGTCCATGAGAAACATAAAATCCAGAAAATACTGACGTCGTAAATCTCAAATACGTTGGACTGTATCCGAGCTGCCAGCACCCCTACAGTTCCAACTCAAAATACTCATAAAAACTTATAATGTTTTGAGGATTCTCAACAGAAACCATTATAATATGGTTTGACGAGACACAATCCATTACACCACACATACACCATTTAGAGAATTTACAAATCCATGCACACACCAACGAGATCGAAATCAAGAGAAACCATGAAACCCATGAAACAAACCCAATATGGTCTTGTATTCTCATAAGTTGTTTTTCAGATTTGTAAAAGATAAATTCCCACAACTCAAGACATGGGAGACGGATAAGAGAAAGAAGACCCAAACATAATATTCTTTGTTGCATTTCAAATATGTCTCTTGAAGAATTTAAAAACATATAATAACACCGATCAGGAAGCTGTCCAGACCTTTGGTATTGGAAAAAAAACCATAGTAATAAAGCAACAGTTTTCCATTACCCACCGTTATGAATGACCACACTTGTATCATTATTTAAAAAGACTTTCCTATAAATGAACATCTCTAGAGTAAATGTGAGACTCAAATATTGACACCATAAGCATATACACGTATTTGACAATACCATCACACGGTCTTCATTTGTCAAGTATATCCAACGATTACCAAACAGCCAGTCCCAAGAAGAAACCATACATATCATACCACCACACCAACCCTGAAATAATCCAATATTTAACCAAATCCTCCTGATATACCTCCTATTTAGCTCAATATGTCTGCAACCTTGAGCTCTAGAAACAAATATTCATCATCTCAGAAACCACAGAAACAATCATATACCTTAAAATGATCAAAGAATATTCCTTCAATACCATTGAAAGAAACCACCACAAAGAAAATTTAGAGGTATCTAAATGGATCGCATTTTGCATTACCTCATAATCATATCGAGTAAGCTTAAAAACAACATGAACAAGAAAAGAAACCAATACAAGAGTACCACCATTGGACCATGGATTCAACCATTTATTCAAAACAAATAATAGAGAAAGCACCACAAGGCGCATAACAAAACACAAAGAGCCCAAACCAAAGGCCAAACACCAACAATATAAGAAAGCAAGATTAAAAACACTAGATTTCCTATCAGAATCCATCATTATTCAAAAACTGAAATAAAACAAAGCACCAGATCACGCAATCGTCACCTTCCTTACTCTGAAGCCTCTTTAGTTTGGGAATTGTCTTCTTTCCCTCACCATTACCTTTGCTTCCATTCTTTCCTGGTCCCTTTGGAAACTTATTCTTCCTAGGTGACAGAATGCTCTGAACGATACGTTTCTTCGTTGCTCCCCCAAAAGCCCTAGGCTTCATAACCTTCTTCTTTGCAACCTTTGCCACATTATCTTCTGTGATATTCAGCTCCGCCGTGATAAAATTGCTCATTCATATCGACTCCCAACGTAATGTCATTACCAGTCTCCAATTCTGCCTCGTCCATTAAATCACAAACCTCACCTTCTTCGCATTCCTCACTAAGAAGCTCAGAATCAGAAAGAAGTTCACCCTCCACCATCAAGTTAGCATCATCTAGAGCAGAGTTCATATCCTGCTCCACGATGTCAGAAGCATTTTGCCTAGCTTCCTTCCTGCGAATATTGTCTTCAACCAAAGACTCAAACCTCTTACTATCCAAATCCTCGGCTCTTACCTCCTCATCAAACTTGAGGTATTTCCTGGCCTTAGAATGGCTTCCATCACCCACCATAATTTCTTGACTCTTAGGGACCTGCTGAGCACCCAACATCAATTTCTGAGGATTGCTAAGATGTGTTCCTTCCTTGGCGATCTGCAAGTTTTGAGTGCCTTTGGAGTTGATAACAAAACGACCATTCATGCCCCTTGGAGCCCCATAGCCGTACTGCCTTCCTCCACGAGAAGACCCTTCACCAAACCCTCTCGAGAACTTATCCTTATACGAACGATGAACCCCATCTTGCCTGAAACCACCATGTCTCTCACGCATGATCCCCTTACCTTTGGCTCTTTCTATCATCCCTCGTGGTGCCACCTGATTTCCAACTCTAATAGCTTCCCCCATCACTTTCCCATTAGTCACCACAGCCCTATAACTTGTAGCAAAATCCCCTTGTTCTGAGTTTGAAACCTCAGTGATAGAAACCTCTTCCTCCAACAGGCTTGGACAACGTGACTGGTCATGCGTCATAGAAGAACAGTTTCTACAGAAACCAAAAAGCTTTTCATATCGAAGGTTGATCACCACCTCAACACCTTCCTCAAAATCAACCTCCATAGAGAACACCAGGGGTTTGGAGAATCGATCTTCTTGAGCTCAATGTTACGGTGGAGATATTTGGACTCGGGGTTCCTCACGTCCTTCGGCGGGACTGCTTCGAGTTTGAATTAACGTCGTTCTGAGGCCTTGTATTTCATTTCTGACCTCGTTCGTACCGGTATAATTCAGACTCCGATATATCATTCCTTCCGGGGGGTCTGTCGCACACTTTCCCTTGCGTATCGTCCCGATCGGACGCTGGCCAGATCGGGAGAGGTGAAAACTTCGCGGTTATGAGAGTGTGGTGTTCGCAAGGACGGATCCAAGTGTTGTCAAACTATTTCTCTGGGGTTTGCTTGATATTCGGCGAGTTCCCTCTCAGTTTGCTCCAAGCGGTTGGAGATGGTTTGTTAAACGATTTCTTGGTCGTGAGATTTATCAATGAGAGTTGAAACTATTTCCTTGAGTTCTCAAACTTTTTCCCGAGTTCGGGTCAAGTGGGTTGGAGATCTTGGTTTCCCCGGTCGGGTCGGGTCGGGTCGGGTCGGATCTTCGGGTGTTGTTATATCCGTCGTTCGGTTCCAAACTCTAGACCAATTTGCTCAGTGGGAAGGTTTCGATCTGAGACCGTACTCCTATCGGCGACCGAGGTCCTAGTCGATGGATTCAGTTGATTTTGGATCGTGTCGGTGGCTTCACCGGCGTTCGTTTGTTCAGTGGGAGCCGGTTCGGTCTCTAGGGTGATTCCAGCGGGATCGACATCAGTTGATCTCGTTCGGGAGTTCTCGACGTTGGCTGCGTTGGGGTTCATAATCGTGCTTAAAGATCCTAGATCGGGTTCTTATCAAGGGCGTTTTTTGTTTATCTTCCCCACAGTTGGCGCCAAAATTTAGATTCTAAAATCCACACTAAGAGTTTAATCTGGGGAAGACAAATGTTGTGAGAAACGATGCTCTTAGAACACAACGATACAATCGGAAATCGGTTGACAAAAATGGACTTTATTGAATATGAGATTCGATACAAAGTAGTAAACAAAATCGAGAACAACAATGGAAAATAAAAACTATATGCGAACTAGATGTTTATGAAATGAGGTCGATAAGAATAGTGATTAGCTCTAGGGTTTTCCATCCCCTCTACGCTCTGCTCTAGCTCTTCTTTTATAGTCTTCTTCTCTCCTAACCTTTTCCGCAATCTTCGGGATACTACTTCGACCTTGTCGTGTTCGGAATTAGATATTGAAATTGGGTCCAACAGCCACCGTATTGAAGCTTTCAGTTTTGCATAACTACAGATTAGAATGCACATGTATCCAATAAAAAAGTGTTGCATAGATTGGAGTAGCAACAGTGATATTTTTGGTAGTTATGAAAAAAAAGATATTTTAGTATCTGTCAGAATGGTAATTTTGGTAATGCGTGAGATATGTTTTTGTACCATTAGGTTCATCAAACTTCAGGCTATTTGTTTTATGATACCTGATTCAAGATTCATGTATTGAATCGATCAAGACTACTTTTATTTTTGAACTGATAAAACTGAAAGACTACTTTCATGTATTGAATCGATCAAGACTACTTATCTTTTTTGAACTGATAAAACTGAAAGACTACTTTACATACATGGTGTTACATACTTCAATATTGATCAAGTACTTTACATACATGGTCTTACATACTTCAATATCGTAAACACAATATCAAAAGCTACTTTTATTTTTGAACTGATAAAACTGAAAGACTACTTTACATACATGGTGTTACAGATCAATATTGATCAAGTACTTTACATACATGGTCTTACATACTTCAATATCGTAAACACAATATCAAAAGTATTTAACACCAATATCTTGTATACTTGATCTAAACAACGGAAACATTTTAATATCCGATATGAAATTCCAAATAGTCAGAGATTATATTATCTCATGTTCATGGAAAGCATAAAAATGCTTGTTGGTGGTGGTGGGCTGCACCAGATATTTTGGACCTGCGTTAACTATTGTTGTATGGTTTATATTGTTAAATATTTTGGGTTGGTGAGTTTATTATTTAATGACGGGAGTGGGTATCATATAAATAGATACATATTACTTTTGTCATCATATCATAATCTAAATTTAAATCAGATAGTATGCACCTATTATAACGTTGGACTATTTTTTCAAAAAATGGAATATTGTATGATGTATCAGTTGGAGACAATAAATTAAAAGAAATTGTTTGATGATGACTTGAAACGAATTATTTCTATATTATGGCTTTATAACTTTATATTATTATACACTGGTAAGTTTGTCAATTAGTTGTTTATCATGTAAACAAATTCTAGAGTCCATGATCTCGAAAGTACTATACATGTAATTAGTCTCGTACCATATACTTGCTTTAAGCCGTTAGCATGCAAAATAATCTTTAATTATATGTACAAAACACAAAAAAATGGTAACTTATATAACAATGGAGAGATGAACACAAATCGAGTATCCGGATTTTCGTAGGTATTCAAGATTCGTTTATTTCGTATGAAATAGTCATCTGCTACTAGATATCCAGAAAATTTTAAATTATTAATTATATATCTGATTTGATTCATACAAATAAAATAAAAATAAATAAATAAAAATATAAATTTAATATTAAATAATAGTATTTTACTACAAACATAAAAAAGAATTATTTTTAAGTTATATTAACAAATACAATAACTTTAAAAATAAAAATATTATAAACTTATATAAAATATATTATTTATGTAATTATATATATAATTCATTAATATATGTATATATATGCATATAAGGAATTGGATCGGATATCTGTATCTAAAAATATTAGTAGTTGTGATTTACTTCGTTTCTTACAAATATTACATCTTAATATTTGTTTGCTTCGTCGAATTACGAATATTCAAAGTTTTTGGTTCAAAGCAAAACAAACAACAAATCGAATTAAAATTTGTAGATATTTATCAAACCCTAGATAGAAAAGAATATTTACTCCATTATTCTGAAATTACTACCAGTCGTAAAAGTCCAAAATATAACTATTTACTAATTACTCAATAGTTATATTTTTCAAAAGAAAAACTGGATTTAATGTTTTTACTCAATAGTTATAAATTTTAAAATGCTGCATTTAAGGTCAGTGTTAGGTTTAAAAATATAACTATTGAGTACAAATGCTGCATTTAATGTTTTTAAACCTAACCATGACTTTAAACCGGATTATTTTATGGATAACTTAATCATCGGGTCATCCATATATAAAAATATAAGTCAATAGTTTGATAATTTAAATATACAATTATATATATATCAAAAACTATTAAATTTTAAGGGAAATTCATAAATATAATATATATTTAGATTTTATTTTCATTTCAGATACAAAATATCAAAAAATAGTTTAAAGTGTTGATAATTTTTAATAAAAAATAAAAAATTAAGATAATAATAAAAGTATAAAAAAACAATACTAGTAAATATGTAAATTTATAATATGAATAATAAAATAAACCAAAAATAAAAATTATAACATACTTCGAATAACAAAAATAAATTAGTATCAAATGGCAGATAAAGAGAGATAGCATTTCATAAAGAATGGAAATTATACGGTTAAATCCGGCTACCAAATAGAGCGGGTATACCCGTACAAAGAAATACCACCTGGAAGCTTGGGACCTACAGTAGATTTATTGAAAGAATTTTGCTGGAAGGTATGGTGTCCTCTGAAGATAAAACATTTCTTATGACAATTGTTATCAGGATGTATAGCTTTCAAGAAAAATCCAATAGCTAGAGGGATACAAGGAGACATGTGTTTTGCCAGATGTGGAGCTGAGGAAAAATCGATAAACTATGTCTTTTTCGAATGCCCTCCAGCAATCTAAGTTTGGGCACTATTGAAGATACCATCTGTTGTATTCAATTTCGGCATCTATCTGAGCAGGCCAAAGCCCATCTGGAGTTATCACCAATTCCACATGGAACCGGACTCTACGAAGTCGAGATAAGATCCCTGAGATCGCGGAAACAGTTAGAGAAGGAAAGAACTATAAAAAGAGAGCTACAGAAGTTCACACACACGGAAAAACCTTAGAGCAATTCACTAATCACATCGACCTCATTCTATAGAATTCTAGTTCGTCTTCTTGTACCTTTTGTTGTTATTTCCGATCTTGTTCATCACTTTTTAAACGAATTCCACATTCAATAAAAGTCCATTTTTGTCAACCGAAGTCCGATTATATCGTTGTGTTTAAGAGCATCGTTACCCACATCCTTTGTCTTCCTCTGATTGAACTCTCGATCTCTACAAAATAATGAGTGTGGATTTTAGGATTTACACCATTTAACCCAACGATTTTTCCAACCAGTTCTCTTTTCACAAATCTGGATCATCTATTTGGGAGAGTCCTCCCAAAAATGGAAGATCATCATTTTGCATGGATATTGTAGTATATATGGAAAGAAAGGAAAAGCAAGACTTTTAGCAATATAGATATTGACCCTAGGGATACATTCAAAGTGGTGGAGGCAGAATCAACTGTGTGGGCTGAAGCCCAAGTGGAGAATTTACAGAGGACAACACAACAGGGAGGAACCACGGCTATACCTTTCATACCAAGACGTTGGTGTTTTACGGATGGCTCATGAAAAGATAAGGAAGTTTTTTTTCTGGACAAGGGTGGTATAGTACGCTTGAGGGTTTTGAGGGCCTGATGGGGGCACGAAATGTCAGGGCCACTCTTCGCCTCTACACTCGGAGGTGGAAGCTCTAATTTGGGCAATGGATAGTATGAGATATTTGCAGCAGCCTAATGTCACTTTTGCAACAGACTGTTCTGAATTGTTGAAGATGGTTTCTGAACCTAAAGAATGACCAGCTTTTACAATTTATCTGGAGGACATCAATACACTCAGAAAAAAATTTCTTAGCTCAGAGATCATCTATATACCTCGAAGACAAAATTCTCGAGCGGATAGTCTAGCACGTGGTGCCAAAAAACAACCGTCCTTTGCCATTCACATGGATGCGGAACCACCAGTTTGATCTACAAAATCTATATGAGTCTTTTTATGTTGATGACAAAAATTTTTAAAAAAAATTTAAATAAATTACAAATCGAATAATTTAGTTGATACTACATATGCTTGCAAAAATCAAAAGATTAATTAAATTTGTAAAAGTATGTTCAAGATTTTTTAGTTTGTCTCTTAATAATATTTGATTTTTTTTATAGAATTATGACATAATTAAAAGTAATATAAATAAAATAATAATCCATTGGTTTAGCTAATAATCAGATCTACAATTTTAATAGCTGTCGGATTTTAGCGTAGTTTTAAATAATGGATTTTAAAAAAAATATTCTAAATCAATTATGTATCCAGATTATTGGGTTTGTTAGTTGGACTGATTTGAACAAAAAAAAAAGTTGGACTCAATGTTCGAGTCATGTTTAAAAATATTGACTGCATGTGTATTTTGGTAAAACATTTTGAATTTTTTTTTTTTATTAAACATTTTGAAATTTCCAAACGACATCTGTATTTCATGCCAATAGTCTACTCAAATATGTAATTCAATTACCCGACAAATATTTTAAGATCGCTACATTATGGATTGGAACACCATTATAACAAGAGTTGTTTACGTAAAGAGTCACAAAATGACTTTGTTTTGCACCGAGAGACAGTTACAATACTTGGGACACTTTCTTTTGGCAGTATCTATGCGTAAAGACATTACTGTCCTTTAGTTGGGCATTGGTTAAAAATGTTGGATGTTAGGGAACCGGTTTGGTTTAAGGAAACCATCGCATGAAACATTAATGATAGTTTGTTTGTTAGGTTTATTGAGTGAAGAGCTTTATTTGAGGCCGTTGGATTGTAAAAAAAACTCCAAAACTGACGGCTATTTTTGAATGTTGAGGAAATAGGTCAGCTATGAGAAGGACCTGAATTTATTGTCTTGGACACAGCAACCTCGTCTTCCTCAAAGATATTGTGAAGGAAAGCTGAAGTTGAGATTTGGTTTGTGTTAATTTTAGAAATCAATCGATACAGTTTTTTTGGTACTGATTTTATCTTTGTGTTTCAGTTTTATGCAATGGAGGAGCAATGCATGGTGATGTGCGGCGAGTGGGTGTGTGGTAATGGAGGTAAGTGGGATTTTGTGCTGGACAAACGGCAGATGTGTCGTCTTGTTCCTCTGCAAGATGGAATGACCTTGAGTGAACTTCAGTCCAACGTCATTCGTGAGTTTGGCGTTGAGGAAAATTCGTTTGTGGCTTCGTTAAGCTACTGGCCTCCAACAAGTTTAGAGTTAGCTACAGGGATAAGAACACCACCGGTACTACTAACAAGTGATGGAGCGATAAGGTATTTCTTGCAGCACTTGAGAGTGAAAGGAGCTATGAATCTGTTTGTTGGGTTTGAGAGGAGGAAGAGAGACGAGGAGGAGAACATTGATGATTCAGGTTTGGGTTTTGTAACTCCTGGTACTTTCTCCAAGAGGGGAAGTTCAAATGTTTGTTCTGTTTTGAGACGTGGTGTGTCTTCTGCCTCTGGTTCAAATGTTGGTTCTGGAGTGAGGCGTGAATTTGTGGACACAGCCGTTCGAAAAGCACCTGTGGTGAATCTGGATGATGTTGAGTTTGTTCGAGAGGTTGAGAGAGTTGAGGAAGGACTAAAGGATGACAGTTCGTTGGGAAAAGACGCAGCTTTAAGCAGCAACAGTTTTGGATGTGGTGATGATGTTGATGAGGTAGACGAAAGAGACGTACGACCTCGAGGATACGACAAAGAGTTCTGGAGTCCACTTCTAGATGGTGACTATGCTGGCTCTAATGCTGTAAATGTTATTTACAATGAAGATGAGATTGTGGGAAACATCATCGGCAAAACAGGTCGTTACACGGGGAACAGAAAGGATGGCTCAGAGCCTGTGTTTGAAGACGGTGCAACTGATGACAAACACTCGTGGATGGGGAAGAGCTATAATCCGTGGATGGGGACTGGTGATAACAATAACCCAAGTGTGGACAGGAGTGAACGTGTTCAAAGAAGAAAGCTTGATGAGGTGGATGATGAGGAGTTTGATATTCCACCACTTTTTGACGATACAAGCTATGCCGCAGCCGAGATACCAGACATGGATTTGGAAGAAGGTGATGGTAGGATCTATGTTGGGAAGGTGTTTGGTAACAAAGCTGACTGCCAGATATCTCTTGCCATATACGCTATAAAAAACCAGTTCCGTTTCAAACAAACAAGAACCAAGGTTGATTCATTTGTTGTTGAGTGCCCCGACACAAAATGTGATTGGCGTGTGACAGCACATGAGATAAGGGGATGTGGCTATTACGAGATCAGGAAGGCACAACTAGATCATAGCTGCCCAATAGAGTTTAGGCATGGTTATCAGAGCAAAGCTACTTCGCGTGTGATTGCCGCTGTGTATCGTTCGAAGTTTGGTGATACTGGAAAAGGGCCAGTACCTAGAGAACTGCAAAAGCTTGTTCTAGAGGATCTTCGTGTCCCAACTTCTTATATGAAATGTTACAGGGCAAAAGATAAGGCTTTAATCGATATTCATGGGTCTGAAGAAGATTCTTATTTGAAGCTGCCACAGTATTTGCACATGTTAAAACTGGCCAATCCGGGGACAGTAGCTGATATTGAAACAGAGATAGATGATGATGGTGATGAGCGGTTCCTTTATCTTTTTTTGGCATTTGGGGCATCTATCAGTGGCTTTAAGAAGCTACGACTTGTGCTGGTTGTGGATGGGACACATTTGGGAGGGAAGTACAAAGGTGTTTTATTGACTGCTAGTGGACAAGATGCAAATTTTCAGATCTTTCCCCTAGCTTATGCTATTGTTGACAGTGAAGATGAAGAGGCGTGGACTTGGTTTTTGATGAAGTTGGAGAGGATCTTAGGTGATTCGCCAAGGCTTGCAATAATATCTGACCGTGCAACATGCATTGCATCAGCTATTAAACGTGTTTATCCATCTGCTAATCACGGTTATTGCATTGTTCATCTGGCACGAAACGTAAACTCTCGTTTCTCGAGCAAGAACTTGGCAAAAATGGTTACAGCCACTGCAATGGCTTACCGTCATCGAGAGTACACGGAACGGTACAGCAAAGTAAGGTCTCAGAGAAGTGAGTGTGGAGTGTATTTGGGTAAAATAGGTGTTGCTCATTGGACAAGAGTAAACTTCCCTGGGGACAGATATAACATCATGACTATTAACATAGCGGAACAGCTGAATCATGCTCTTGTGGAGGGGAGAACATCACCTATTATGGAGCTGGTGAAATTCATTCAAAGGATGATGACAAGGTGGTTCAGTGCAAGAAGGAAGAAGTCATCGAACCACAGGGGTATGGTTAGTGTGGAGGTGGACAAGGAGATGACTAAGAACATGGCAACAATGAAGGGGAGTAAAGTCAATTCTTCAACTGAGTGGAGTTGTGAAATAGTAGGGAAATTTGGAGGGAAGGAGCGTGTGCACCTAGCGAATAAGCAATGTGACTGCAAGTATTTTGATAAATTAAAAATACCATGTGGACACGCTTTGATGGCTGCTGACAGTTTAGGAGTTCCTTATGAGACTCTTGTGGGTCACTGTTACAAGACATCGACATGGAGGGAGACATATGCTGGGATAATAAGTCCAGAAGGAGATCCTCGTGATGTAGAAATACCTGAGGGGATAAAGAAGATGGTGTTGTACCCACCTGTGACAAAGAGACAACCCGGTCGCCGTAGGAAAAACAGGATTCTATCTACGGGTGAATTTCCGGTAAGATTAATATTATTGGGAAACATTGTCTGCGTAACCCACACGTTATGTTTGAATATGATGGTCTGAGAAAACGTTTTTTATGTTTAGGTGACTAAGAAGACTAAACTGGCACCAAACAAGTGTGGTAGGTGTCGTATTGAAGGACACAACCGGACGAATTGCACAAACCCAATTTAAATGCATTTTGGTAGTGTGGTGAGGAAAACCTATTTTGGGGGTGGAGGAAACGTAGTGAATGTTATCTTTTGAGTGTTTTTGGGTGTTTGAAATTTGGAATTGTTCTTGAGGGGAATGTTATTATAACCCTCATGTTATTTTGGAGATTACGATATATTATGTTAAGGAATGGATGTGTTTGGGAAACACCATTTGTGGAGAACTTGTTGAATCTTTTTTTAAAGGTATGAATGTGAACTTATTAAAATGTTTCTTTGTTGAATGACTCCATAAGTTATGTAGTTGTGGATGATACTTACCAAGCACTTCCCTTAAAAAGGTCCTAAACTAAGTTACTTAGCAAGAACTTCCCTTAAAATATAGCTGTGTTGAATGACTCCATAAGTTATGTAGTTGTAGATGATACTTAGCAAGAACTTCCCTTAAAGAATACCAAAGCAGGGGAGTGTAAATTAGTGAAACTCCATGAGACAAAAGAAGTTGGAGAAGGTTGAGTTATACATAATAGAGTTATGAGACATAAATATAAGAACTTGGACATACAATTTAAAGAGAGTTGATAGTAAAGAGTTCCAACAAGTTGAGGATTGAGTTGTTAATTAACCCATCTTCCAAAAGAGGTAAGACATGGCTCCGCCGATGGCGACAAGTGCTGCAGTCTTAAAGAGGGGGCTGTCAGTGTGTAGCGTCCTGTTGTTGGGACAGTGGATCTCTGCCTGAATTTGTTCAGTCATCTTCTTTGTTGACTCGTCGATGGATCTAGAAAGCTGCATCATTTTCTCTGTGATTTCGTTCTTGAGCTGTTCCTCACGACTTCCAATCCAATTTCTCTGAGAATCGAGTTGAGCTTTTGTTTGAAGCGTAAGTGCTTGGAAGTCGCTGAGTAGATCCATTCGCTTTGCATCTACCATTCGAATCTCGTCGAGAAGGTTTTCCTCTATCCATTTGAAGAGATGGCTCTCTGTTTTCTTCTGTTCATGGAGTACACAAAGGTGTTGGTTTTCTGACTACATTGTTCTATATGCAGACTCGGTAAATGTTGAGTTTAATTGGAGAGAGTTGAATAAACCTGAAGGGCAATTCGGCATCTGTAGAATCTGCGTCCAGGATTCTCCTTTGTGTCGGAGACCCATGTATCGAGGGATTGACCACACCAACATTTAGTGGGGACTCCGTGAACTTGCCTGCGGCCTCCTTGTCGTGAGGAGGAGGAGGAGGAGCTGCTCATCCTTTGGTCGTCGTAAGAAGTTTTGAGCCGCCGATTTGCTGAACTTGAAAATTGAGAGCCCTAATTGTTGGTTGGGGTCCCGTTAGGCTTATAAAAGTGGTGGAGAAAACCGGTTTCTGGTTTAAGTTGGTATTATTTTTGATTTGTTGAAACATGTATTAGGTTTGTAAAAACCGAAGCCTCCGCACATAACCGGGACTAATTGTGGATATGCTCTATCCACATATGATTTGGCAAGTGGTTTCCGAACACAGATGGACTTTGGTCTGGTTTGGATTGAACCTGTCCACACCGGTATTCAATTGTGTCCAAGAAATCGAATTTGGTCTGGTTTGGATTGAACCTGTCCACACCGGTATTCAATTGTGTTGGTTTATATTGTGTTCGGTTATATATCAAAATGTCATCAGCACTTGTATTCAGTCCCCGTCCACAGGAGTTGTTTGTCCAGAAGAATATATTTTGTTCATCTGTCCAAGAACACTCGTCACAAGTAAATTCCAGCTGAAAAACCAATTTGAAAAGAAAGATGACAGTAGGTAGGGAAGGAGTTTCATATTACATAGCCGATAAGTTTCATATTACATAGCCGATAAGTTCGAGATGTTAAAAGAGGGGGATCCACACCCTATCAAACCCAAAAGAACTCCTAAAACAAAGAAATTAGTCTTGCTGGTTTTAAAAGATGAGAAGACAGAAGTTACAACATCACCATCAACTGAAGTAAGAGCGTGGAGAGTAGTAAGAGGGCATGACGATGGTCTTGTATATGTCAAGGGCGTACTGCTTGCGGAATGCATCGACTGTGTTGTCTGTGAAGCTTGACATGTGAGGCTCGGGATCCCCGTGTGCATGCATTTCCATGAACTTGACAGAAACAGGACCGCAGTCCCCCGATCTTTGGTTGATGTACAAGTCTTGGACACGAGACCATGCAAAAGGTTGTAGACCACGGAACTGAGTGAGGTCGTAATTTGCCACCTTCTTGACGAGATAGGGTAATGCCTTCAGAATGGGAGCCATGAAACGACCGACAGTGCTGTCTCTGTAAAGGGTGGGGAGGGGGTCTAGGATTTCAACAAAACCCAAGTCGAGGTTGATAGCCAAACCAACCCAGTGTTTATTGCCCCATAGCATTGGAGTGTAGACAGTAACCACATCTTCCATCCATTTCCTGCCTGGATGAAGGACTATTTCAGTGAGCGGCTCTCCCCATTCGAAACTTGCTTTCCTACTTGAAGCGTTGAATTTCTTGGTCTTTAGCTTGATTCCAAATGCAAGAGAAGGGGGCGTGAAGGACAGCTTCTGAGCATGGAAGAGACAGCTATGCCTTTCAGCTAGCATGTACATGAGTATATCCATGTGCTGCATGGTAAATAAGATTAGTGAGAAAAATAAGGAAGCAACTGATTAATGAAAGTGGTGGAGGATAAGCGTACATAAGCTGATGTCCAGTGCTGGGGCTGTGCTAGTTGGAGGAGGAAGTTGTTGGTAAACTCAAAATGTGAAGGTGTTATGTGAAACCTGTGAGAAAAAATGTGAGTTAGTTAATCTTAGCTTTCATAAAAGTAAGGAGATTGTATTTTTGAGGACTTACACATTCTTGTGGTTGGCCATTATTCTTTGGAAAATATCCCACTGGATCTGAGGTAGTGGGGCGATAAGGTCAACTGCTGGAATAGTATTAACGCGGTTGAGTTCACCTGCAAGTTGGTTCTCCTCCCGTGAGGGAACATGTCGTTGGCGAGGTCTTTCTGGAGATCCTTCACTGAGTTCGACAATGTCGCTGTCCTCCTGACGTCTTTGCCGAGGTCTCTCGGGGGAGGCTTCGCTCACTTCCACAACGCCACATTCTTCATTTGATTGAGCCTGACACGAAAAAAATAAGAGTTTGAAAGATAAAACACAACTTCGAGAAAACAAAGTTTGAAACGGAGAGTTTTAACACAGAATATGGGTGATGATAAGTAGGGTACCTGGATGTTGGGGAATAAAGGTATGGATGTAGCGGTGGCTGAGAATGCGTTGATCGTTCGTGAATGACCTATGAAACCAGATAGACTACCTTCGCTTTTGTTTGGAGACGTGTCGGGGGTGAAAGGGAGTTGACATGGGGAGAATTTGCTCATTGAAGAGTCGTATCTCGGTTGACCAAAAGAAGGAGGATCAGGGCAGGGCAGATGGGTTTCAGAGCTGTTAGGGTGAGCACTAGAATCGTATATGACAGAACGTGTGCGCAGGTAATTGGGGGAAGTTGGATTCGGGTTGGAAGCTGAGTGTAAAGGTGTGTTGTGTACGGGAGATAGGTTGTGGTTTGGGTTGTGGACAGGTTCATCGTGGGGTTCTGTGTTGTGGATGGGAATGTGTGGTGGTGAGGTGTGGACAGGTGAGTGTGGTGGTGATGTGTGGACAGGTGAGTGTTGGTTGTGCAGTGGATGCTTCGGACCGATTTCAGAGGTTACAGGGGCAATCTGAATTGTAGGTGAAGTTGTGGAAGTTGAGCCGTAGAAATGTACACCATATTGGCTGACAACAGGAGACTTGATTAGCTGGTCATCTTCGTCCATAGGGATGGAGAACTATGACAAGTAAGGAAAAAATGAGCAAATTCAAAAATGTATGGGATTTGGCATATTAAAAGAATGAATTATGTGTAAAGAGAAAAAGTACCGTCTTGTTATGAGATGTTTCATCTAGAATATCAGTTTGACACCCCTTGTCGCAAGTTTGGTGGCTGGATTCAGCTTGAATTCCTTTGTGGGATTGTTGTCCTTTCTTGGAACGGCCAATGAGAGTGTGGAAGGAAGAGCTCTTGGTGGTAGTATGCTTCTTCCGGCGCTTAAGCAAGAAACGCACATGCTTTGACAGATGCTTGGATTCTTTCTGAAGGCTGGAGACTATGCCTAATACATCCGAAAGCATTTCCATGACTTTGTCATCCCTGCCTGAAACAGCTCGAGGGAAATAGTTGCTGATACGTCTCTGTTTACGGGTAGTGGAAACCTTCCTTGAAGACTTTCTTGGTTGAGTCGCTTTGCATGAAGTTGGTTTTGGCTTGAGAATCTTTTTCTGAACGAGAGGAGGAGCAAGAAGCGGTGATACATAGAAGAGGGGCTGAGATGTGTCTCCTCCATGCCAAATATGCTTATGAAAAACGTTATGTCCAATAAGATGCTCCATGTATTGCACCCGTTCGTCGTTACATACATCTGGCCAAACGCCCCATCCAGGTTATGGTTGACTCTCTATTGGTATCAAAGATGTAACAGGAAGCTTCATAAAAAGAAAATCGAATGGTTAATGATCAGGTTCATGCCAAATATGGTGACGAAAATATAAAAGCCAAATAAAATGGGCTAAAAGGTTCATGAATTTACATGTGGATCAGCTTCGATGCGTAGTATGTCATTCCGGGAAGGTGCTGGGTAATCAGGAAGATGACAAAAGTCAAGTTCCATGATTGATTGGGGCTCAACAGGGATTGGGATCCCGAGCAGTAGTTTAGGAATAGCTTGATACGCAAGTAGTTGTAGTGCAAGGGGGAAGCCCTTTAGGTGGAAAGTTTCCTGCTTTAGCATATCAACAAGTGCTGCGATAGGGTCTTCACATTTTCCAGGGACATACTTCGGAGGCTTCATGCAGGTAATAGTCTTCAGAAATGACTCTCGACCCCAAGGGTGTGAGCAGAAAACATCTACATCTTCTACCATCTTCACATACTTCAGGGTTGGCCGAGACTTTTGTTGATGTGCAATGAGGACACCATCCACAATAATAATCAAAGCTAGGCGAAGCTTCTTCCAGCCAGGCATGTTTTTATCAGTCGCAAGCTTGGTCATTAACTGAGCAATTGTGATGAATTTCTTCTTGCCTATCAGCTTGATCCAGTATGGGTCTTGTGGTGCTTTACTCTGGTCTTCCCAATCTGGGTTGTAACCTACAGGGAAGGCTCCACACGGTAATCCTGTGATAGTACCAAACTCTTGAAGGCCGAACCTAATAGGATCTCTTCCGAAAACAGACCAGAGAGTGTGTTTGTCTTCACAAACTAGTTGTCTTGACAGTAAGGCATGTATTAACTGGCAGGAAACCGGACACTGAATAGCTGGGAGGTCAAACAACTTGCCAAAGCAAGAGTCCTTGATATACTGGAACTCGATGGTGTCACGTAGCACATAACTGATGGAGGCTAGAAGGTCAGGCTTGAAGTATATGTTGACGCGTCCCTTTGGAAACCTGTCGGTGGTGAAGAGTCTAGGGGGGAGTCGGAGGTCAGGACGGTGTCTTTGTGTCACCTCCTCGAAATATTCCTTCCCTATACAGCAAGAAAAAAAAAGGAATGTGAAAATCAAGAAATGAGACTGGAAAATCCAGGAATCTAACACGAAATCAAAGATGACTTAGAGATTGTAAACTATGGTTTCCAAAAAACACAGATACAGATTTTGTATACAAGATCATAAGTTGCATGCCTCCAGATAAAGTGTACAAATCGAAGATGTAGAGAGACAGTTACGGGACACGAAAAAAAAAGACAGATCTGTCCAAACAAATACAAAATTCTAAAGACAACACCGTTATTCCAAATCTGGGATTTGGAACAATCATGAGACAAATTATCGAAGCAAACTGCACAGTGGCGCAAGAATTAAAGAGAGAGAAACGCAGAGAACAGAGATGGAAACTCGGACCTTGCATGTCTCGTATGCTTCCGAAGCGACGGTCTGTGTAGGATTAGGATTACGGTGGAGAAGAACAATCGAAAAATCAAGAGTGATGAAGAAATGCGAATGGAGAAAAGGGTTCTCACAAATCGCCGTCTGAGAGAGAGAGAGAGAGAGAAGGTGTTGTGGCGAAATTAGGGTTGGTGAAGAGAAGAAACCGGTTTGTTTAAGTGCTTTTGATTAATTGGTTTAACAATGGACCGGTTTGGTTTCTTAGCGTAAGGGTATATGTGACAAATGATAGGGAAGAAGTATAGCACATGTGGGAAGTATCCTTTCCAGTAATTGGAAAGACATAAAGTGTCTTAACTGAGTAAAAAATTCTTATGACAATCATATCGGACTCAACTCAGAACCGGGTCTTCCTCTTTCTTATGACCATTCTAATTTCCATGCTGTGAATCATAGTTTATGGATATAAATAAATTCCTCAGGACATGAATACATTTTCTTCGCCTGTTAGGCTTGCTAAACTTATTGCCAAAACATGAAAACTACTCGGAGCTGTAAATACTATTCGTAAATGACTTTTTCTTATAGGGTAGAGATGCAATGTTCGAATCTCAGCAATTGCATGGAAGGAGATTTAACAACGGTCACTAATCCCTCAACCAAAGAGATTATGAACTTCAATCCAAAACTTCTTGAATTCAAAAAAAAAAAAAAAAAAAAGCAGACTCATTTATGTGGGAGATAAAAAAAGAAAGTATATTCTGGTTGTCAGAAACAACTACATATTCTTTAATCTGTAGATAAAAGGTATTATTCATTTGATAAGCATAATAATATTTTTGTTAAGTATAATTTTATATATAATTAAAAAAAATCATAATAGTATTTATTATCCACAAGAGTCAATAAAAAAAGTGGGAAATAGGCATATTTCAAAGAGATTAATTGTTTTCTACGACGATACACTTTTTTATTTATTTTGAAATCTTCTATATTTTTGTTCTCTTACATTTAGATGTGTTATAAACTAATAATATCCTTAAGTTACAAGAATTTTTTTTGATAATACAGTGGCTTAAACTTATAAACATATATTTTACAAAAACAAAAAAAAAACCTGTTACAGGGAAAAAGAAGAAAAAGTAGGAATTCAAAGAAAAGTAACAAAATAAAATCTCTGGAAAACATGAACCAGAAATATAAGGTACAAAAATAAAATATAGCCTATTTATTTGTCCTTTTTTGTCACCAGCCTATTTATTTGTCCATATAAACTTTTTTTGGTCAATGTTCATATAACTTCTAGCAAAGTGTTTGAAAATTTCTTATCCCCAAACACCCAAAAATTTCTGACCAACAAAACTGATAAACTTTTCAACAGATCCTTTCTCCTTGATCTCTTCTTCACCACCACAATTTCCTTCCTCCACCGAGTCACTACCACCCAACTCACCCGAACTCGAGCCCAACTCACTGAGCCGACTCTGTACGACCGAGTTAACTCGAGCGGATGATTTTCCCGATCGCTTTTTCCTGTCTTTCTTCTTCTTCCTCACCTCCAAGCTGTCTTCGAAGGCGTCGATGATCTCATGAATGAGCTTGCGGTTCGGTGAGGAGTCCCACCTAACCCAGTAACTCGTGTAGCAGCTGAAGCAATCGCAGAGGAAAAGAGGAGAGTGATGATCATCTTCTTTGGGTTTATTTTTCTTGAGGCGAGAGATACGATTTGGATCACTGGAACTCGAGATGAGGTATGCAAGAACTTCACGGTCCTCCGTTGAGAGAGCAGCCACGAGAGAGAGGACAGCGAAGGGGAGGAGAGAGAGAAAGTGGTCGTCTGGTTTGATCGCCGGCGACGGATGAACAGTTCCTTTCCGACCAAGATTCTTCATAATCAGAGAGAGAAAAAAAACAAGAGTTTTGAAGAATGAGTCTTATGAGACTTTGAATTTTGAAAGGTTTTTCTTTATTTTTGACTTAAGTTTTGAAAGGTCCATTACGTCTGAATAATTAATTTTAATATTATGTTTTCTTAAATTTATTCAACAATTTGGCATTTTCTAAACTAGCAATATGATTCGAAGGAAATAAAAAGCTTAATTTTTTTAAAATCCTGAGCAGGTCCATGTACTTACATATTCTTTTATAGTTACCAAGTTTTGATATGTCAATCCAGTATGGAAACATAAACATTTTTTTGGACCCAATTTTCGATACAAATTCTTTTACAGTTACCAGATTTGATAGGACTGGGTAAAATATCAGTAAATTTTTATTTGATTTGTTATTCGTTTTATTTCGAACCGAAAAATCCGGATACCTGTAACTCTATGAAGCAAAGCAAAAACTAAAATGCAATATCCTTAAGAAATGAAGCAAATCACATACTAATATTTTTAAGAACATATATCCGATCTGATCCATTATATACACACACATATATATATATATATTCACATATTTAAAGAATTATATATAACTTATATAGATATTATATTTTCTATCAACTTTACAATATTTTATGTATTAAAATTATTAGATTAGTAATTAGAAATTTTTAAAATAAACATTTTTTACTGTAATAATATATGATTATTTTATATTATTTTGGATTTTTTAATTATTATTTTATTTATACAGACTAAATCGAATATCCGGATAAACATTTAAAATTTTACGTATATCTAAGAGACTGAATATCCATATAACTACATATGGAGTTGAATCAGATAATTTATTATTCGGACGAAACTGATCAGATTAGGAATATTTCTAAATACCCGGATATTTGATCCTTGACACACCTACATTGTACAATTTTTCTTTTATCCAATGTCAATGAAAGTGTTAAGTGTTGCACGTTAAAAAACAGCGATCAATTATTTTGTTTTCTAATTATAAGCTACATCCAGGGCGGGTGTAGAACTATAGCAGAGTTTTTAGCTGGCCCTTAACATAAATTTTGAGTTAGTCGGGGCACTTTTCATGAAAATTGAGTTAATTTTAAAGATGATTGTTTATAGAGAATCAAATTTTAGCTAGGGACATGTGACCCATTGGTCGTACCGTATGTCTGCTCTAGCTACGTCGTCAAAATATTTAATTTAATTTAATTGTATTATAAACAATCAATACAATATGCTGTCAAAAAAAAAAACAATCAATACAATATATGCGCCTATAATAAACACTAGATTAAAATTACATTTACGCTAGATGAGTTTTGTATATACAAATTATTCATACGTACCATTACATATTTTGCATTTTCTTACAAATAATAAAATACTGAATATATATTGAATAATTAAGAAATAAGTTAGTATTATGTATATAATTAAATTATCGCGAAAACATATATCAAAACAGTAAGTCTTGTTTATTTTAAGGAAAATTTCAATTCAACCACAAGTTTAACACCACTTTTCAAATTTATCACTAATGAATGATTATTTTCGCAATTCCTAAATTTGGGATAACACTAAGTTCATTTTTAAAATATGTATAGAACATTTATAAACTCAACCACAACCCCTTAATACTAAACCTTAAACAATAAACACTAAAGCTTAAATTCAAATGCTAGTATATTTTTTGCTCGGTGATATTTATGAAAAGTTGTATTTAACTTGTGGTATTTTTAACTATAGTAAATAAATTAAAACGATGTTTTCTCTTTTTCTGTGTTATATAATTAAATTTAAATATTAACAAAGATACTTAGTACATTTTAATATGATCATATATTAAATAAGGTTTATATTCATATGTTTTTATGGTCATATTTATTTTTAAAATCGGTGATGATAAAGTTTTCAATGTGAATTTTTAATAATTTTATTAATTTACAATCGTTTTTAAAATTCAATGAAAATTGCATACTTAAAATATTAATTTTTAAATGACTTTAATGCAAATTTGAAAGAAAAAAAATATTTATATATTTTTAGTATAAAAAATCAATTTAAAAGGAATTAAAATGGATATATTCAATGTAAATATCGATTTAATGAGATTTTAGACTCATGTGGTTTTATGATCATTTGTATCTTGTTATAACAAAAAAAATCATAAAATTTTCAGTGAGAGACTTTAACATTTTTTTGAGTAATTTATAGTTATTTGAAAATTAAAAATATAAAATATACGAAACTCTAGGTCTCGCGAGCTATCAAAAATATATATATAAGGTATTTTTTTGCAACACATATCTATCCAGCACCTTCTACACATTCTACATGTGCATAATAAAAAATACTATTCATTAACCATACATACATGATGTGAAACCGAGGGAGGAAAATCGAATTGTTGTCGACCAGGCAGATTTGGATTGGCTGATCGAGTTCTTGTGTTCCTTTCGATTTGTAGTTATTTCTGTTGGAATTTGTTGAAACGACATTCTTGTGTTTCGAGGTGAGCCTCGAGAGTTCGAGTGGCTGTTTCGCTTCACGATGTTTTATCCACGAGTGTGGTGAGCATCCTTTGGATTGCCAACACTTTCATTGCTGACGAGAGTGGAGAGTTCGTTCGCTGAGTTGGTCTGGCTCTAGCAAAAAATGAACTGTAGTTTGAGTTTCTGACTCGTAGGTTGGTCTAGTTAGCAGGACCGCTTACCAAAGTAGGGGGAGTCACGATAGTTAGGACTGAGAGGCTCTCTGGAGTTGATGTTTGGGATCCGTCATTGACAAGAATGCTACTTGGTTCTACAGTGGCAGTGGTGCTCTCTTGAGCTGGAATGACTTCTTCGGATCGGATTTGTGAGTCTTTGCGAAAGGATTCACTGGTTTTAGGATCCATTTCGGTCTGACAAATCTTTGATCATGCTCTTCAGTCAGAGATAGTTTTTTTTCTTAGCATTTCCACACAGACAGCGCCAAATTGTGGCAGCTAAATCCCATAAACAAATATTGATATAAATATAATAAGATTTAAGAAAACTGTAGGAAAGGTCTAGTGAGTAGATCTCTAAGATAGTTTGAACAAACTGGACTGATATATACTAATGAGAATGAATTTGAAGCACACAAAAAAACCACATGAGAATACAATATAGATAGAGTAATCTAGAGCTAGAGAAAACAAGTCAAATGGCACATGCGTGATCAAGGTTTTGGCTTTGTCTTTTCTGCTAATCTGCTCATTCCAATTTCTCTTCGTATCTAGGGCGCAACATATGTGCCTAACACCGGAGATCTCGGCATGACATGGTTCTTAGTCGTTATCTTCAGACTCGGAGTTTGGTATCTCGGACTGCGAGGTAAATCTTTGGCCAGAATAGCTGTCCACCGTCAATAGATCGCATCTTCATTGTCAATTCACTCTGTTGTGATTGGGCATTTTCTGAACTAGATTTATGTGATAAATTTTGCTCCAACTTCACTAAGAAAATATATAATATATTGATATATAGATAATAAGTACACTTTCATAGTTTGTTTGTTTTTTTTTTTTGCTGATAATTTACATAAATAAAATAATAATATATATCACTTATATAAGAACTTGTATTTTTAGATAATTAGTTTACATCTATTTACTTTTTAATATTTAATCAAATATGAAAATTCATTAAATTAATTTAAATAGTTAGATATGCATTTGTCTTGCACAATTTATTTGAGCTGCTTTGTTTATGTATTTTGACATTGCTTTACTGAAACTGATTTAGAACATATTACTTCACAAAATAATACGATAATAATAATGAAAAGTAATAATCTTTCCACATTGAAAAATAGTAAGAAAATACGTGACTGATGACACATAAACAATATTAACTGGTCTTGTTTCGTGAATAAAGTGACACATAAGCAATACTAAACTGGTATTGTTTCAAAAATAATGTGAATTTGATGTTGCCGCCCTAGCAATAGCAAATGAACTTCTAATACCTTCAACGAAATTACAAAAATAATTCATGTAGTTTAGATATAGCTTCTTCTTCAATTGTCTTGATCAGTTTTGTCCCGGATTAACTTTAGTTAAACTACCGTTGAAGAACTTTGAATTAGGTATTCCCATTCTAGCAATAGAATATTTTGATCTATGCCACCAGTAGAAGCCTTAGTACTTCAGAGTAAGGAGATATAGTTTATAACTTTTGCTCTTAAGTTCTATTAATAAGAATTTCCCATTAAACCAAAATAAATTGGATATGACTTGGTCAGTTTTGTTAAAACGTTCCCAAATAACGTTTTGGTCTGGTTGATTAACACTAGTAACTTAGTAGTAACTAGTTACCAAGGAAAATAAATAAGCTACCGTGTGATTTGAGAATGATGATGGTTAAGTATTTAGGTGATGGTTAAGTATTTAGGTGACTGGAACAGAGAATATGAGAGATTATGAGTAAATGGCTGAGAGAGTATATATGAGAGAATAATGATTTTCAAGTGAGATTAAGAGAGTTTGGGAGTATGAGAACTGAGCATAGGCTCATGGGGAACAGGATAATAGAGAGAATATGAGATAATTAGAAAGTAATGAAGACGAATTATTCATTCAACTTAAGGTATACAATCTGCAACAACAATGCCATATATAGATAAGCACACACCTTAAATTAATACTAAAACATGGTTTTACAAAACAAATAATTAATATTATGGGGTTTCTGATGAGGACAAAGAGGATAGAGCCAAGGTGAGCAAGATCAGAAGGAGTGAGAGTGACAAGAGGGCGAAACACAGTCTCTTTGGTTTGATAGTGACAGGTTTAGCAGCTTCTCTTAAGCAATACATGTGACTTCTTCTTATCTAAATCAAATCAAAACTGAGTACTTGAAGTACTGTACTTCCATCCAAATTGACTCCATTTACTTCTGGAGGCTCCTAACGTCCATATTGACTCCCAAATTTCTTTCTTGCCTTATCTTGTTATCCCAACTTCACTACACTTCATTGAACTTCACTGCATTTTGCCGCACTTCACTGCACTTCACTTTGTTACTACTGATTTTGTATATTGTTTCATCTCAACACTCCCTCTCAACCTTGACCATAGAAATCCTTGGACAAGCTTGGAACAGAGGTTACTTGCCTCATTAAAAACCTAATTATAAGGAAAAAGAGTACAAGC